GGTTTACCCAAGAGAATGGTTCTGTTGCCCGTTATGAAATTCCCAACTTATCCTGTTCCCCACTACTCATTCTTTTAGCAAATGACAGAAGCTAATTCCTATTGAGCAACAATACAGTACAATACAGAATGTTAGAGAAAAAGCCTTTTTATCCTGCTTTCTTTGAACACATACTTGATCAAAATTATTTGTAAAGAACATCTTTCCTACTTTTTGATTTTAACAAATGCAAATTTAGTTCTTTAAAACTTGAAAACAAACAAACAAAAAAAGAAACCAGTTCTGTGAAACGGTACCTCATTTCTGGAAAATAACTTATACCAGCCCTTCTGTTCTAGGGAAATAAAAGTCTAGCAGTTCAAAGTTTAAGTTTTAAGTATCAGATTATGTAAAATTAAATTTGTGAAGGATGTACAGAGTCTCAGACACTGATCACAAATAAACTGCTTTGTTGTGACACAGAGTACTGCCTGGTTCCTGACGCAGTCCCTGACCTAGCTGATTGATTTGTATTTGCCCAGAGCACTTTAATTTGGGCTCTAGTTATTTTTTTTTAATACAATAGAGACTTTTCATTTAAACTTTAACTTTGTAAATATTGAAGTGTGTAATTAAAGCCAACAAGATATGGGTTTGAATATTGTTTTAGCTTATTATTTTTGATATGTTTTGGTATCAAATTACAAGGAATTGAAAACTAATAATAACTTAGTCCTAGAACCCATTCATTTGTACACAAACTGCTAAAACACAGCAAAGGTGATTGTTAGTTTGAGCCAGTCCACTTGTTTTGTAAGCTCTTTGTACTCCTGTGGTACAAGGGCATTCCCATAATAAAGGTTATATTCTGTTATCAGAGCACTGCTTATTAAATGATGGCACTACCCAGAGATGGGGAAGGAGGAATGTGATTAGTTTCAGAATTTCCAAGTTTTAAAAAATAATAAATTAATCGATCAACCACCCTCTCTTGTTCTTGTGGCCTTCTTCACTCTGTAAGATACTGTGTTTACTCCCTGGCTTTTTTCATGTAGATAAAAGATTAGCGATTGTTCTGGGATTCATTGAAGGGTCTGTTTTCCTCTTCAATTACATCAGAATCTAAAGCAGCAACAGGGTCCCCATAAAAACTTGCTCTTCGATTGTCCCAGTTCTTGTTGAGTGCTGCTGTGAAAAGTGACAGGTTTCAGCCATGGGTCAGCATTTATTTTTAAGAAACCTGACTAAGCTGGTGAAAAATGATCAGTCAGTAACATTGTGCTGTTCTGTAATGGGTGCAGACTTAAGTCTTCCACTTGCATTCTCACCTTATTGGAAAGCCTATAATGTTACTAGAAGTAATGGTTCCATTAAGGTACTCACCCCCATGAAATCAACAGTGTGGTCCCATACCAGTATTTAAAAGTTGGTATGTCTTACAAATGTTCCTTTTTAGCACGAATTAACTTTTCTCTTCCCTCTTAAATTTTATGTCTAGGAGCTGAACATTGCCCATCAGTGAGAATGGGCTTCACAAAATATGGCAAATTTATGTTCCAGATTTCTTTGGGACCACTAAATGAGGGTGAGATGGGCAATTTAAAACAAGTGTTAGTATAACTTCTCAGATGTATATTACACAATGAGTTGTTCCTTTCTTCTGCTCCTTGACCTTTTGTCTATATCAGTGGTGGGTGATACTTTAATAAAACCTCATCACTTGCTGGAAATAGCTGTGAACGTATCATTCTCATCTTGTGCATTAGTGGCTAGACATAAACAAGAGGGCCCATTTCAGCTGGGAGTTTTCATGTTTCATTGATTCGTTTTGCTGACCTATGGATGAAACAGAGCCATCACTGAGAAGAAAAAGCATGGCTGGTAGTGTCCAGTTTTTATTCATTAAATATTTACAATAGTCCTCTTTGTTTTTGGAATACTATTAATTGGCAGCTGCAGCTGTATTGTTATTTGAATTGATCGTCAAATTTGCATTCCAAGTTGGAATCTCTCTGGAGATTTCTCTTTAGAAAATTCTTTTGAAGTGGGTGATTCTGCTTCATAACTCAGTCCCTCTATAATGGTGAAAAGGGAGCTGTGCTGTTTTCCAACATGATGGCAGTCATTTCAAATGGTTCCTACCAAGTCTTTTTTTTTTTTTTTTTAATTTTGTTGTTTGTTGGAAGTTACTAACCATGTTGTAAACCTGCCCAGTTGCTGCAAACTTTTACATTTCTCTGCTTTACTTAAAATAATGAGCTGTCAGTCCTTTGTTAGAAGTGGTAACCATGCAAGTTCAACTGTTTAAATTCTGTAATGAATTAAGTGCCCCCCCCCGACCTTTGCCCTTCCCATCCCTCCATTTTGTAATGAAAATTCCACTTACAGCTGAAAGAGCAGAGAAATATAAATGAAGCTCTTGGCTTCACCAAATTGCGTGAAATTAACATAAAGTTTTGCTTCTCTGCTCTTTTCTCCACTGTAGGTGGTTTTTTCATTGACAGCCCCTATTGCCAGCCTCTGAGCGTCGCACCATTTATTATTCACTTGGGCCCTCAAGATTTCTTCTCTGACTTCTAGAACCATCAGGTTGTCTGGCTTGAAATGGCAATTTCTATGTCTTGGTCTTAAGAAAAATGTGACCCCCTGAGGCTTTCCAGCTTTCAGATATACCACTCTGACACCTTATTTTTGAAAGCAGTGACTGAGCATTTTAAAGAAGAGCAATACTTTATTCAAAGCCACGGTGTCTGTTTTAAAACCTTTCCTTTGGAAACCTAGCAATATCTCTACTTAACCCCTCTTAGCCTAGCCTCTTGTCAGGGAGTTTACAGACAAATACAGAACTTAGAATTAGCGTGTGAGCTGTGCTGTCTTCTGACAGTTTTTAAACTTTTTTAGCACATAAATGGAATAGTTGCGTTCTTAACTGCGTCAGTTAGTGCTATTATAATTTCTCAGAGACGAGGGTCCTCCTTGAAGCCATATCCTTCGCATGGGGCCGGCGCCCAGCCCGGGATGTGGCTTGCAGCCTGGGTTTCTTCAGGTTGCAGGAGCACCCCGTCTCTTGTGCAAGGTAATTGGTCTACTAGATTTCCAACATACCTCATGCTGACTAGATGCAATGCATGGTACGGTGAAGCACAGAGTTGGGTTTACATGGTTCCTGAAGTCGTTAGTAGCTTCTCTCAAATTGTTAACCTGGGAAACAAACCACATGGTAGATTTTGCTAGTATTAGCCTTTTCATTTTTAATTTGGGGGAATGTTTGAAAATCATGGATCAGTCACTCACCATTATTAATTGAAGAGCTGGGAATACCTTGTTAATGTATTTTTAAAACTGGTGTTGGACCCTCTGTGTATTTCAGGTTAATACTTTTAAGCAGTTTTCAGAACGTTTATCTCACTTTATTCTCGTTCTCCTCGGACCTTCGTAGCCATATCACTTGTATAAAATAGGCTGAAATATAGTGACTGTAAGCTGTGATCTCAGTATAAAAAGGTAAGCTCTTTTATTTTCTGATTAAAGAGAAAAATAATTAAAAATCAGTTTACACACAACATGCATATATGACAATCATATATGATGTATTTGATCTCTTAGGTCTTAATGTCATCACATTACCTTTAAAAATTTTATGGTATAAATGTAAAATAGTTATTTTCAGCATTTGTTTTAATACCCTTAAAATTTCTATTCAAGAGAGAAATTTCACTTTTGCTGTGTTAAGTGTGTGTATGTATGTACAAACTTACTATATAATATATATGTAAACTACATACACACATGTACCTGTTTAAATATAAAAATCTACTGGTAGGAACAGTTCACCTAAGAAGATTTTAACGTCAGGGCACTCTCTTGGCCAAAGTGCTGGAGTTTCATAAGCAGCAAGATTGGTAACAGTGCTGGTAGGATCCGTTTATATGTAGCTATTACTCAAGCTGAGGATCAAAGTGCCAATTTCTCAAGGAGAGAAACTTCTGTGAGAAATGAAAATCTCTGCTCTGTGTTGTATGTGCCTATACAACAGCAGCAAGAAGCCATAAAAAAAAAAAAAAACCAAAATATTAAGGTAACTATGGAAAAATATATAACTGACTGAGTTAAGCTTTTTGCAGAACCAACTTTGGCAAGACTCAGAATGGTGAATACCCAGTCTGCAGAGACCAAATAGACTCAAGACTAGTCATCTGTCTTTTCCAGTTTAGGTAGCTAGATGAGTTATTTTCTACCTTATTCAACCATCATGGAGTTTATTTTAGAAGATGTGAAGGTTAGGCCAAATATTCTGATGAAGATTTGCTTTGTTTAGTTCGTGTCCCATAAATGCATTTCCATATGTGTTAGATGTCTGTGCTAATGCTGTATTTGATATATATAGATTAAAATGAATTTTATGTTTTATATTTGTTTCTAAGTAGCAGTTTTCTTTATATTACTAACTTTAAGGTTGCTGGAACAGCTTTTTTCCCCGTACAGAATCTGTATGTACATTTAATATAGCTTTGGCATTTATAAAAGGTTGTATGAGGTATAGCTGACTAGTACCAAGTGCAGTCCAGTCCTCTTAAACAGCTGAGGGCCTATTATGTGCCAGATCCTTTTCTAGGTACAAAGGAAACAGAGGCTTTAACTAGTGGAGAATCTCCTTGCTGGTGGAGTTGAGACTGTTATAAATATCCTAGTTTGGGAGAAAAATCCTGGTAGCAGTGGCAAAAGATAAGTTGTTCTGCTATTTAATAAGATGGCCCTCTGATAGCACTGAAATGGACATCAGTTGGAAATTCCCTCATTTAAAATATTTCTCAAATTCACTCATTTAAAATATTTCCCTAGCAGTTTTGAGAGCCTGAAACCAACTCTGCTTTATGTTCATGGATTTCTATTCAAGTAAGTGAACTGAATCGAATGAATAACAAATAGTCCAGTCTTTTTAAAGCAGTTTTGATAGTATAGCAGATTACAAAGTGGTTAATTAATAACACTGACCACATTTTTTGGATGAGAAATGAGGGGAATGTTACCCTTATAATCAGTCATTCACTATAATTTTCCAGTTTCTTAGATTTTATTAATAACTACTGGAAGAAAATCTTTAGTAGTGCGTTAGGGGAAAGAACTGAGGGGATGTTTTTCCCTCCATCAGGTACATCAGGTAGATTTCTAGCAGTCCAGAGCCCTAGATAGGTAGGGCTTACCTGGCATTTCAAAACCAGGGACATTAAGAGCAGTTAAAGCTGAAAACACCTGCTCTGTGAATGTTCTTGTAATTCCCATTCATCTTATGCTGGTCTCTGTAGTCCTCCAGAACAAGAAAGGTTCTCTTACATTCAAACTCATACTCTATAAAGCTCTGATGCCATAGATTCCTCAGCATTACTAGGAGGCCTGGGAGGGAGATGGACAGTGAATGAATAACAACTGCAGAGCCAAGAAACTTAACTATTGCTGAGGTGATTCGGTGTTGATGTGTTTCTCTCTAGCAGTTATTTACAGAGCAGAGAGCTAGTACTTCTCATATGAGCCCCTTTCTTTCCTACTCGCATCTTCCAGAAAGACTGTTTTAAGTCAAGAATTCAAGTTTAGTTAGTTGTTAAGAACAGATATTCTTTCTCACGTTACCATTTTAGGTGGGAGCTAACAGCTTCCATTGATGCTTGAAGCAGTGATCTTTGGAGATTTTTTTAAAAAGCAACATAATGCAAATTAGGTTATATAAGCTTTACAGCACAGCTAGAAATAGGGAATAAAAACCATGTGGGAATCTGGGCCAAAGTATTTCTTTCTGTCCAGCAAATTCCCATGGGGCTCAGGAATTAGAAGAGTTAATACACATAACGTGCTTTGAACAGTACCTGGCACATAGTGAGTACTCAGTAAATGGTGACTGTTCTCACCATGTTTGCTAAGGTGAAAAGGAAGCATGTGAGGGAGGCAAGGATGTGCTGATAGGTGACTGAGAAGCAGGTGTGTGGCCTGCTCTAGGTGGGGTTGTGTTGGCTCTCTAGTATTGACTGGTTTGGGTTGCTGCCAGGCTTTGGGAGAGGAGGACTCCTAGCATCTGGGGTTAGACAAGAAACAAACCAAAGATCTGGTGAGAGCTGTATGGTGAAGTCGCTGCCAGTTTAGGTTGAACAAAATTGCTTGCATTTCTGCTGTGGTAGTTCTGTCACCAGCTAGGCTGCTGCTGGGGATTGGTAAATACTTGGTTTGGGCTTGAAGGGTGCTTAGAACTTCAAAAGGGCCGAGCTTAGAATGTCTACCTGCTGATTCCAAGTTTCCTACCAATGCATTAATAATAATAAAGTGTGTTTGATGACAGCTACCCCTGGAATTCAACCTTGAGGGCTCACCGGTGTTTGGTAGGTAGGAAGCAAGCTATTATAAACCCAGAAAGGAAAGGTGATTGTGGGGTGTGCCTAGAAGGCTACTCACTCAGATGCTTCTGTAAATAGTACTCCTGCAGCTTTTTCTCCCAGTTTGCTTTGACATTTTGGGAAAAAAATCTGGACTCACCACCACATTGAGACTCCCTTCTATCTGTTAACGTTAGTCAAAACCGTATCTATCTGTCTACACACAGTTGGACAGTTAACTTTTCAACAAGAAGAAAAATGGGTAGATGTGAAGTTTATGAAGTTGGATTGAATAAAGGGTATTTGTCTTACCATCTGTTCCTGGCTTGCATATATCTGCGTAAACTTCCGGAACCTCTGAAGAAAGCTGGGCAGCTGCATCCCAGTCTGTTGGTAGGAGGTGAGCTAAGTGAGGAGTACAGATAGAGTTCTGAGATGCTCTAAGGTTGTGAAAGCTGTGTGTAGCCAAGGACTGAGAGTTACCTTTAAGAAGGCAAATGAGAGAGAGAGATTTGCATTGTCATCAGGAGGCTTCTCTTAAATCCAAGAGGTGTTTGTATAACTAACACCCAGGCAGAAGCCTGGAGGGGAGCAGGAAGAAAGAACCTTCTTTTAAACCCTGGTTGTACGAGTTCTAGAAACTGACTTGTGTGTGAGGGAGAATGGGTACCTGGCCTTCATTGAACACAACACTTTTCAAAGCCCTTTCCCACTCATTGTTTCATTTCCTGCCCTACCCATAGCACTGCAGGGATTGTTGTCCCCACACTACATACAGACAAGGACATTGAAGCCCAGAGGCTTCTTTAAACCACCCAGCTTGTTTGTGGCAAAACATTGTGGCTCTTAATTACTGAGTTTTTAAACCACACAGAAGAAATAACATTTCTTAGATTGTTTTTAGAGTTAACAGAGCTCTTTCTTAGGGATTAGTTTTGAACTCCACCACAACTGTGGAATCTAGAAATTTTCTCCTTTTGTAGAAGAGGAAATGGAGGCTTAGAGAGACAGGGGACTTGCCCAAAATTATACAGCAAGTAAGTGGCTGAGCCCACACATTCCGATAGTGCTGTGCTTGATGCTGATGGGTCCGGATTACTAGTCTAGACTGATGCCTATCCTGTTTTCCAAAACCTTGGGCAAGTTTTCTCTCCTGTGCTTACTTTTCTTCCAGACTTCTGGGATATAGCCTGTATGGCTTCAAACAAAATAAAAAATAGCCCACCTCCTTCTTATTCACTCCTCAAAACCAGACTTTCTCTGGTTCCTTTGGAAGAACTGTTTGTGAGCTTGCTCCTAGGCAAGGTGACCGACTGGTTGGCCTTGGGCCAGGCAGCATGTCTTTTACCATCTGCGCAGTTGGGTCTGTCTCACAGACCATCTTGTTTGACCTGTAACTAAGCCCTATAATAAAGTTTGAATTCAGTAATTGCCATTTGAGGAGATACTCAGGTGGGAGAAAGGGAGGGGATGGGAGAAAGGGGGGAATGTGTTGTTGGAAGCTTGCCTTTTATGTTCAGCCTCACCAACGTTTTGGTTGTCTGCTGTCATCCACTCCTGGCTGGGCCTTCAAAATGTTCTCTGACCTAAAGGGTTCACCCTCACAGTCTCAGAATTTCCAGAGCGCTGAAATGCCTGGGGTCTCATTGGATCTTTCCATCACGTAGATAGTCTCTTAGAGATTGCTCATCTTCCTATAATCCCTCACGTCCTTGGAGGCTACATTTAGGGAAATAACGGTGGGCACCATCTAGAAAAGTGAAAAACATATAGAAGTTGGCACCTGAGGGACTCAGGAAGGCTGATAGCACCTTGAAATGAGATAGAAGGACAAGGGAAGGCTTGGTGAGAACATGGATGTTTCCATCAGCTATTTTAAGGGATTATATTTACTTGTATGTAGCTCCAGGGGGTAGAACACAGTTATGGAAAGCCAGCTGGGCAATTTGAGCTATGTTATACCCCCTGTAATAACAGACTGGGCTGCCTTGGGGGGTAGGTGGAGTGAGAAGTGAGCTCCATGTTACTGGAAGTGTTCAAGCAAGAAGCCGATTGTTTGGGTACTATAGAGGGAACTCCTTTGTGGAACATCAGTTTGGACTGAGCTCTGATGTGATTGGTGACACTGCCAAGACCACTTTGCCCCTCTTGGGCACGTGGATTTATTAAGAAAACATTCACTGTCACCTACTACTTTTTATCAGGCTCCATGTTGGGGGAGAAGGAGCAGTTGGAGAAACCACCAGACAACTGAGTGGAAGGTGAAGCCATTGACCAGGAGGAGAGCACAGGAAGGGGAAGGAAGATGTTCAGGGGATTTGAACAGAATTAGAGCTGTCTTCTATGGTTGGAAGAAAGGCTTTGGCAGGTCCCCACCCTGACAGGGATGATATTCCCTGGCCCACGGCTGGGCACTTACAGGCCTATTCCCAGGTCTCCCACTCAGCCCAGGAGCGGAGCCAGGCCTGTGAAGAGAGTGTTACACACGGGAAGAGAAGTGCTCAGAGCTGAGTAATTTACAGAGAGTTACAGGCGCGCCGATGGAAGTGGCAGAGGCTTCCCATTGAGACTGACATCTGAGCTGGATAGGAGTCTGCCCGGTAGGGAGTGGAGGGGCCCTTCAGAAAGGGGAAGCACAGTATGCCTAGAAAGAACATGGCCTGCATGGACGGCTCGAACTTCCTGTTGATGGGGCCTGTGACGGTTTGGAG